AGAACTGAGGCGCCATCTTTCAGGTAAGTTCCTGTCTGCCCTCTCAAAATATCCCACATCAGTAATTTGAAGATGGCTTAGGAGTCTTCTGGACAATATTTATCCTGCAAACATCACCAAGACAGATTATCCAGTCAATATCACACTGCTGTTTACAGCAGATTGCTGTGTGTTAAGTGACTGCCATGTTCCAGGCATTCCAACAGAATTACATTCCATCAACTGTAAAGCGCTGCAGGACATCCTGAGTGTCTGAAAAACGCTACAGAAATTGAAGTATTTTTCTGTTACTCACAAGTTCACCTCCAGGAAGATTAACAGATGACAGAAGCAGTACAGAGTCCAGTCTGGAGTTGGTCTCCACTTTCCATCGCTTCTGCTGCACCTACAATTGTTCAGAAAGGTTCAGTTACATTCCTGTAGGACTTAAATCCAGCCTCTGCCATTCTTCAGGACAAGGGACTCTTAAAAAATATGAACAGGAAAATGAACATCAATCAGCTCTTGTAGCATCAAGATGTCTTGCATGCAGGGAAAGAGATGGCAGAGCACTTTACATAGTGCTGAGACATAATGAGGGTCACTGATTAGTGGGAAAATTGAAGAAACATTTAAGTTTGAGGACAGACAGGGATCAACATGGGGGTGCTGAATGAGACAGTGAGAAAAGGATCTCATTCTTAAACAAGCAGCTAGCAATAATAAAAATATCATTTAAGAGTAGGCCATTCAGCCACTCAACTTGCTCAATGATACAACAAAAATCGTGGCAGATCTGACTGTGGTCGCAGCTCCACATTGTCCTGATAACCACCAACTCCTTTGTTAGTCAACAGTTTATCTACCTCTGCCTTAAAATACTCAGTGACCTCACCTCCACAATTCTCTGGGGATCAGAGTTCCACAGAATGATTTCAATGCAAAAATAGGAGGTACGGTTAAGTTTGCAGTGGACACCAAAATAGGTGGAGTGGTGGGCACTGAAGAACATTACATCAGAGTACATGTGACCTTGATCACTGAAAGTTGCCACCCAGGTTGATAGCGTTGTTAAGAAGGCGTACGGTAGGTTAGGTTTTATTGGTAGAGGGATTGAGTTTCGGAGCCATGAGGTCATGTTGCAGCTGTACAAAACTCTGGTGCGGCCGCACTTGGAGTATTGCGTACAGTTCTGGTCATCGCATTATAGGAAGGATGTGGAAGCATTGGAAAGGGTGCAGAGGAGATTTACCAGGATGTTGCCTGGTATGGAGGGAAGGTCTTATGAGGAAAGGCTGAGGGTCTTGAGGTTGTTTTCGTTAGAGAGAAGAAGGTTAAGAGGTGACTTGATAGAGATATACAAGATGATCAGAGGATTAGATAGGGTGGACAGTGGGAGCCTTTTTCCTCGGATGGTGATGGCTAGCACGAGGGGACATAGCTTTAAATTGAGGGGTGATAGATATAGGACAGATGTCAGAGGTAGGCTCTTTACTCAGAGAGTAGTAAGGGCATGGAATGCCCTGCCTGCAAAAATAGTAGACTCGCCAACTTTAAGGGCATTTAAATGGTCATTGGATAAACATATGGATGATAATGGAATAGTTTAGGTTAGATGGGCTTCAGATTGGTTTCATAGGTCGGCGCAACATCGAGGGCCGAAGGGCCTGTACTGCGCTGTAATGTTCTATGTTCTATGTTCTTGATTAGATGGGTCAATGGGCCAAAGAATGGCATGGAGTTTAATTTAGATAAATGCAAGGTGTAGCATTTTGGTAAGGCACACCAGGGCAGGACTTGTATAGATAATTGTTGGTCCCTGGGGAGCGTCAAAAGGCTGAGGGTGACTTCACAGAGGTTTATAAAATCGTGAAAGGCATGAAAAGGGTGAATAGCCGAGGTTGCTTCCCAGGGTAGGAGAATCTAAAACTTGACGGAATAGGTTTAAGGTGAGAGGGGAAAGATTTAAAAGAGACCTGACAAGCATCTTTTTCACGCAGAGGGTGGAGCGTGTAAGGTAATGAGCTACCAGAGGAGTTGGTGAAGGCAGGTACAATTACAATATTTGAAAGACATCTGGATGGGTACGTGAATAGGGAGGGTTTAGAAGCATATGGGCCAAATGGGACTAAATCAGTTTAGGATTTCTGGTCAGCATGGATGAGTTCGACCAAAAGATCTGCTTCCATGCTGCAAAAATCGATGACTCTCAACCTTTTGAGAGAAGAAAATTCCTTAGTCTTAAATGGGAGATCCTGATTTTGAAGCTGCATTCCCTAGTTCTAGTCTCTCCCATAAAATGGAAAATATCCTTTCAATATCCACCCTGTCAAGTGTCAATCACTAGACTACTAATTCAGATGGACAATATTCTGGGGACCTGGTTTCAAATCCCACAATGGTGAATGGTGGAGTTTGAATTCAATAAAGAAGTGGAATTAGGTAACAAAACCATTATGGATAGTTGGAAAAATCCTTCTGGTTCACTAATATCCTTTAGGGAAGAAAATCCATCATCTTTACTTGTGTGGGCTATATGTGACTCCAGAGCCACAGAAATGTGGCTGAATTTAACTGGACTCTGGGCAATAATACTGACCTGGACAGCATCATGTGAATAAAAAAATTCCTTCAAAACTCCAACACATACAGGTCCAATGTGTTCAACCTCTACTCAGAAGATAATTTCTTCTCCTCCCCATCCTAGGCATTAGTTGATTGAACTGTTTCTAACACAATTACATTTGTCCTCAAATAAGGAGACTAAAACTGTGAACAGCACTCCAGATCTTACCTCACCAATGTTCCATATATCTGTAGCAAAACATCCCTGCTTTTAAATTTCATTCTCTTTGTGATAAACAACATTAAATCTTTGATTCAAAGGAAGAAAAATTAAGACTAGTTAATGGATTAGAGAACATATGCAGGGATGCAAGGAGATTGTGGAGGTAGATTGGGGTACACTCTAATTCACAATAAATAAGGTGTAGCATAAATTTTTCACTGGCTGGCAAAGACTGTTGAGTCCAATCACAAATGTGCATGCTAAGCTAAAGAAACTAGACCCAGTCACACAAGATGTACTCCAACATAACAATTTTCCAAACAAAAATCAATTTTTCTGAAATCAACCTATTATATCTTTTAATACAGAGATAGCAGGAACTGCAGATACTGGAGAATCTGAGATAACAAGGTATAGAGCTGGATGAACACAGCAGGCCAAGCAGCATCAGAGGAGCAGGAAGGCTGACGTTTCGGGCCTAGACCCTTCTTCAGAAATGGGGGAGGGGTAGGGGGTTCTGAAATAAATAGGGAGAGAGGGGGAGGTGGATAGAAGATGGATAGAGGAGAAGATAGGTGGAGAGGAGACAGACAGGCCAAAGAGGCGGGGATGGAGCCAGTAGAGGTGAGTGTAGGTGGGGAGGTAGGGAGGAGATGGGTCAGTCCAAGGACGACGGACAGGTCAAGGGGGCGGGATGAGGTTAGTAGGTAGGAGATGGGGGTGGGGCTTGGGGTGGGAGGAAGGACAAGTTAGGGAGGTGGGGACGAGCTGGGCTAGTTTTGGGATGCGGTAGGGGGAGGGGAGATTTTGAAGCTTGTGAAGTCCACATGGATACCATTGGGCTGCAGGGTTCCCAAGCAGAACATGAGTTGCTGTTCCTGCAACCTTCGGGTAGCATCATTGTGGCACTGCAGGAGGCCCAGGATGGACATGTCGTCTGAGGGGGAGTTGAAAGGGTTCACGACTGGGAGGTGCAGTTGTTTAGTGCAAACCAAGCGTAGGTGTTCTGCAAAGCGGTCCCCAAGCCTCCGCTTGGTTTCCCTGAATTAGAGGAGGCCACAACGGGAACAGCGGATGCAGTATACCACATTAGCAGATGTGCAGGTGAACATCTGCTTGATGTGGAAAGTCTTCTTGGGGCCTGGGATGGGGGTGAGGGGGGAGGTGTAGGGGCAGGTGTAGCACTTCCTGCGGTTGCAGGGAAAAGTGCCGGGTGTGGTGGGGCCGGAGGGGAGTGTGGAGCGGACAAGGGAGTCCCAGAGAGAGTGGTTCCTCCGGAAAGCAGATAAGGGTGGGGAGGGAAAAATGTCTTTGGTGGTGGGGTCGGATTGCAGATGGCGGAAGTGTCGGAGGATGATGCGTTAGATCTGGAGGTTGGTGGGGTGGTACATGAGGATGAGAGGGATTCTGTTTTCGTTGTTATTGCGGGGATGGGGTGTGAGGGATGAGTTGCAGGAAATGCGGGAGACACGGTCGAGGGCGTTCTCGACCACTGAGGAGGGGGGAAGTTGCGGTCCTTGAAAAATGAGGACATGTGAGATGTACGGGAGTGGAATGCCTCATCCTGGGAGCAGATGCGGCAGAGGCAAAGGAATTGGGAATAGGGGATGGCATTTTTGCAGGAAGGTGGGTGGGAGGAGGTGTATTCTAGGTAGCTGTGCGAGTCGGTGGGCTTGAAATGGATATCGGTTTCTAGGTGGTTGCCAGAGATGGAGACAGAGAGGTCCAGGAAGGAGAGAGAGGTATTGGAGATGATCCAGGTGAACTTAAGGTTGGGGTGGAAGGTGTTGAAGTGGATAAACTGTTCGAGCTCCTCGTGGGAGCACGAGGCAGCGCCGATACAGTCATCAATGTAACGGAGGAAGAGGTGGGGTTTAGGGCCAGTGTAGTACGGAAGAGGGATTGTTCCACGTAACCTACGAAGAGGCAGGCATAGCTTGGGCCCATGCGGGTACCCATGGCCACCCCCTTTGTCTGTAGGAAGTGGGAGGAACTGGTGAGGACGAGTTCGGCTAAGTCTATATCTTTTAATACATTCTCTTTGGTTTAACTTCACCCTCATACATATTGAAAATAAAAATCTTCATCAGAATGTCCTTCTTAGTTGTGATTCCCTCATTTTTAAAATCATAAGCCCAGAAGACATAGGAGCAGAAGTTAGGCCATTCAGCCCACTGAATCTGCTCCGCCTTTCAATCATGGCTGGTAAGATTCTCAATCCCATTCTCCGGCTTTCTCCCCATAACCCTTGATCCCCTTGACAATCAAGAACCTATCTATCTCTGTCTTAAGTATACTCAATGACCCGGCCTCCACAGCCTTCTGTGGCAGTGAATTCCATAGATTCACCTCCCTCTGGCTAAAACCATTTCTCCTAAAAGGTCTTCCCTTTACTCTAAGGCTATGCCCTCGGATCCTAGTCTCTCCTGCCAATGGAGACATCTTCTCAACATCCACTCTGTCCAGGCCATTCAGTATTCTGTAAGTTTCAATTAGATCATCCCTCATCCTTCTAAACTCCAACGAGTATAGACCCAGAGTCCTCAAATGTTCCTCATATGTTAAGCTTTTCATTCCTGGGACCATTCTCGTGAACTCCCTCTGAACCTACTCCAGGGCCACTACATCTTCACTGAGATATGGGGCTCCGAACTGCATACAATACTCCAAATGTGGCCTGACCAGAGCCTTATAGAGCCTCAGAAGTGCTGGATATAAAAGCACTGCTTTTATATTCAAGTTCTCTCAAAATAAATGCCAAAGTTGCATTTACCTTCCTAACTACTGACTCAACCTGCAAGTTTACCTTGAGAGAATCCTGGATGAGAACTCCCAAGTCTCTCTGCACTTCAGACTTCTGAATTTTCTCCCCATTTAGAAAATAGTCCATACCTCTATTCTTCTTACCAAAGTGCATGACCTCACGCTTTTCCATGTTGTACTCCATCTGCCACTTCTTTGCCCAGTCTCCTAACCAGACCAAATCCTTCTTCAGCCTCCCCGCATCCTCGATACTACCTGTCCCTCTACCTATCTTTGTATCGTCTGAAAACTTAGCCAGAATGCCCTCGGTTCCTTCATCTAGGTCATTAATGTATAAAGTGAAAAGTTGTGATCCCAACACTGACCCTTGTGGAACTCCACTTGTCACCGGCTGCCATCCTGAGAAAGACCCTTTATCCTCACTACCTGCTTTCTGCCAGACAGCCAATCTTCTATCCTATATTTAAATCTCTTCCCCATTCAGAACAATTTTCCTGGGTTGGATTTTGCTGGATCCCAACACCATGTTGAATACACAGCACATCATATTCCAGTAATAAAAAGCACCCATTTCATTTCCAAGTGAGCACATAAAATTTCAAATTAGTATCTCAATGCTAGTTAAATACCTTATTAGCCATTAGATACTTTATTAGCATGCAGTTATTTTCAATTGGTCAGCTGCAACCAAAAACACTTCCTTTGCCCTGTTTTAAGTGCATTTTCTTCCCAGCTGCTCGAACAGTATTGCAGTTCTCTCCTCTTATCTTCTTAAAGGATATGTATGATTGAAATGTTAAACTTTGTTTCTTTATTCTTTCATAGAATGTGTGTGTCAGTGACAAGGTCAGCATTTGTTGCCCACAACTCGAGTGGCTTGCTGGGCCATGTCAGATGGCAGTCAAGAATCAACTCAGTAACTTGATGTAGGCCAGAAGGTTTCTTCCTGAAAGCAACATTTGATGGCAGCTTCCAGATTTATCATTTAAATTAATGATTCCACCATTTGCTGAGGTGGAATTTGAACCATGCCCTTATGCCCCCAAAACTATTATTATGGCTTCTGGATTACTAGTTCAGTGCCATGATCACTACACTATAGTCTCCTCAGCTCTTTAACTCGAAACAAACCAGGTGATTTTGAAATCTTACCTCTGTGATTCTGCCCACAACGACATCCCCAACTTCCCCATTGTATCTAATAAAATAAGAATTCAAATTGACAGAATTAATAGATTGTGTTCAAAGTCATAGACTGGCTCCCACTGCAATGTCAAGTTTAAATTTTCCATTTTTGTGTTTAAATCCTCTTCCCATCTCTCACCTACTCCAGCCTGATGCAAATTCCACAATCCTCCAGATACCAACTCTGACATAGGCCCCTGCTCCCTTTGTCCCACCAATACTTGCTGTTGCCTTCACCTGTCTAGCCCTTAAACTTCAGATTTACCTCCTCAAACCTCTCCACCTCTCTCCTCTTTTAAGATGTTACATGGCTTTTGTTTTTAAAGCAATCAGATTTAGAAAAACAATGAAGAACATTTAAAACTAAACTAGTCACAATAGAAGTGAACTGCAACAATAAAAACACAACCAAAGCAATTGTTTTGCCGCTGGCACATGACACAAACAAAACAGATCAACAACTATGTACTAAATGTCTTTTGATATTTGCACTTTCATTAACTGCTAAAAATGCTCTTTGTCTCAGATCAAACATTTGTCACTGCCCTAATGGCCTCTTCTTTAGCTTAGTTGCAGATTGTGTCTCATTATGTTCCTGTGATGTTCTACTAAGTTTTATTAATCATAGTCATTTTACTTCTCCGGCTCCAATACAAGCTTTTCTAAATTATCACTATTGCCACAGATTTATGGTTTTCATAGTCAATTGAATGAAACTTTGATGTTTCAGTTTCCAGCCCGCCAGAAAAATCCTGCATCCTAAACTACTGAAATGTAAAATTTGATAGAGGTAGTCCCCCATAAACAGCTGTATATAGACCATGGTCCCCAGAGGAGCTTTGTATTGGTAATGTGCCTTGTGCTAGCAGTGTCATTTGCAAGTTAGAAGGTTGTGTGCCCAAGTCCCAATCCTGGACCTTCTACTCTGACCCACTCTATGTTGGCAATCCAATGATGGTGTTACAATGCTGGAGGTGCCATCATGTTATCATTGATTTTTTAAAAATGTATTCATTTGTGGAATGTAGGCATCACTGGCTGGCCAGCATTGCTTGTCCTGTGCCTAATTGCTCTTCAGAAAGTGGTGGTGAGCTGCCTTCTTGAACCTCTGCAGTCCACCTGCTGTAGGTAGACTCACAATATCATTAGGGAGGGAATTCCAGGATTTTGCCTAGCAACAGCGAAGGAACAGCGAGATATTTCCAAGTCACAATGGTGAGCGACTTGGAGGGGAAGGTGATGGCGTCCCATACATTTACTGCTCTGGTCTTGTAGATGGAAGTGGTCTGGACCTGGTAGGTGCTGTCTGAGGATCTTTGGTGAATTTCTGCAGTGCATCTTATAGATAATATACTCTGCTACTACTAAACGTCAGTAGTGGAGGGAATGGATGCTTGTGAATGCAGTGTCAATCAAGCAAGCTGCTTTGTCCTGGATGGTGTCAAGCTTCTTGAGTGTTGTTAGGGCTGCACTCATCCAGGCAAGTGTGGAGGATTCCATCACATCCTGACTTGTGCCTTGTAGATGGTGGACAGGCTTTGAGGAGTCACGAGGGGAGTTACTTGCCGCAGTATTCCTAGCCTCTGATTGCTCTTGTAGCCATTGTGTTTATATTGTGAGTCCAGTGAGTTTCTGGTCAATGATAACCCCAGGATGTTGACAGTGGGGATTCAGTGATGGTAACACCATTGAATGTCAAAAGGGCAGTGGTTAGATTGTCTCTTATTGGTGATGGTCATAGCCTGGCATTTGTGTGGGTAAATGTTACTTGCCACTTACCAGCTCAAGCCTGGATCTTGTTGCATTTGAACATATACTGAAGCAGTCTCTTAGGTGTGGTGAATGGTGCTGAACATTGCACAATCATTGGAGAACATCCCCACTTCTGACCTTATGACTGACAGTAGCTTGTTGATGAAGCAGTTGAAAATGGTTGGGCCTAGTATACTATCCTGAGGAACTCCCGCAGAGATGTCCTGGAGCTGAGTTAACTGACCTCCAGGAGCCGCGACCATCTTCTTACGTGCCAGGTATGTCTCCAACTACTTGAGAGTTTGTCTCCTTATACCCCTTGATTTGTTTTGCCAGGGCTCCTTGATGCCACACTCGCTCAAATGCAGCTTTGATGCCAAGAGCTGTCACTCTCACCTCACCTCTGAGATTCAGATTTTTTGCCCACAGTTGAACCAAGGCTGTAATGAGATCAGGTGTTGAGTGGCCCTGGCCAAACCCAAACGGGGCATCACTGAGCAGGTGCTGCTTGATAGCATTGCTGATGACACCTTCCATTGCTTTACTAATGATCAAGAGTAGACTGATGGGGCGGTAATTGGTGTGGTTGGATTTGTCCGGCTTTCTTTGCACAGGACATACCAGGGCAATTTTCCACATTAATCGGATAGATGCCACGTTGTGTAGATATTTAAACATGAGCGCTGCTGGAAGAATCATGGGGGCAGGGCATCTTGTTTCAAATTTTAATACAACCACTGGTTATGAAATGGAATCAAACAATTTCTATAAAATTTGCTCATTACTCGACGACCAAATGCACAGACAATAAGTGTTAAGGACATGCCTGGTTTGAAGTGGCTTGACACATATCAACTTGTTCACTCTTTCCACAGCTCCAGCAACTGACGCAATTAACTTCTCATCTTCCATGTAGGTACCATGGCCTCTGGAAGAGACAGAATATATACTGTAATAAGATACACAAAAGTTACGCACCCAAGGCAGGCTAATGGAAACCTACAACTCTCTTCAAAAAAAAAAGAGTTTGGTGCTGAATGTGAACTTTTGTCTATTTCTCTCAGCACTGTATCTTCTGGATAGAATAAACAGATCAATCTCAGATTTAGAGTTATTAGCTGGCCAACCATCTGCTGTATTTAATGTTTCCTAACTTCCAATGGCCTTGGCCTTAATTTTGAAAATCATGTCCACTTAGGATGTCTTCGCCCTATCCCAATGAACCCATTTCATAAGCTTTCTAGGCCACAGTTTCCAATACATACATCACTTGCCATGTGGCGAACTGATGCTCTCCGAATTATGTTATACTAAAAAGATTGAGTTGTGGCAATACAGTTGGGATGCAAATTGAAGGACTTGGTTTTATTTATTGGTTGTTTTCACAAAAAAAAAATCTGATGTACTTCAGCAACTGAGTGTTGCACGGGGTCAATAAGGACCGAAATGTGCAATGCTGGCAAACAGGGCAATGCATAAAAATTCACCTTAATAGATTTGTTGAAACAAGCAGTATTACCTGAAAAGGAAGGTTACAGGAGGCTGGCCTTGAGCCAAGTCTCCAAACACTGCATTCAGAAATGGCAGGTAGACTGCAAGTAAGAATCAGAGCACAGGAGCCATAACGACACGTGATGGCTCTTTTCCTCTCCATATCTCCTAATATAGCAATTCTAAAAAAAAAATTGAAAAACTTTATTTCAAAAATAAACTTGAGCACGCTATCAGAAGTCAACTCAAGTTAAAAGCATGTCGCCAGCATTATGAGATTGCACATACTGCAAAACAGCCCAATTGGAAATTCCCTTTTGAAGTTGTCGCATGGCTGTGGCAGCAGATTTACCAGCCTTGATTGCTGATGGTTCAAAACCCCGAACCTAAAGTTTCCTAGAATCACCATAGTGTGGAAAGAAGCCATTTGGCCCAGTGAATCCACACTGACCCTCTGAACAGCATTCCCGCTCCCCTCCCCATCCTATCTTGTAACGCTGTATTGATCATGGCTGATCCACCTAGTCTGCACATCCCTAGACACTGTGGGGTAATTTAGCCAATCCACCGAACTTGTACAGTTTTGGACTGTGGGACAAAACTGGAGCACCCAGCAGAAACCCAAGCAGCAAACATGCAAACTCCAGATAGTCACCCAAGGCTGGAACTGAACCCGAATCCCTGTCGTCAAGAGGCAGAAATGTTGACCGCTGTGCCAATTATTTTATTAATAAATGCATTTATTTTGTATTACAGCTAGTGGTGAAACAGTCACAGGTTTGAAGAATGAAAGCCATATGCACGACACTGGTCTAAGTCATCTTTATGCCTTCTTTCTAAAGTCTGTCTGTTAATGTATACAAGGCACTTGTTAGATCTCAACTCGAGTATTGTGAACAGTTCTGGCTGCAACATTGGGGAGAACGTATAAGCAGCTTGCGAGAATGCTTCCAAAGATGAGGAATATCAGTAATGAGCACAGACTGGTGAAGTTGGAACTGTTTTGGAGAGAAGGCAGCTAAAATGCAATCTGATAGAGATTTTGAAATCAAGAACAAGCTTAAGAGGGTAAAATGGGGAGAAATTGTTCCTGCTTTTGAAAGGAACAAGAAGAGGAGAGCATCAATTTAAAGTGACCTGCAAATGAAACAAGAATGAAGTCAAGGAAAAAAAAAATTCAGTGAGTATAGTCAGGACAGGGAACATACTATCTGGAAATGTGGAGGAGGAAGGTTCAGTTGAAGCACTTAAGACGACACTGCATAATTATTTAGATAAAATAACGTGCAAGAATTGGGAAAAAGTAGGAGACTGGCATTAGATGATGATGTTACTTTAGCATCCACTGTGAATGTTAGAAATCTGAAATAAAAACTGGAAGTGCTGGTAAAACCTGGCAGAGAGTTATACAGGTTACGTTTTGAGTCCAATACGATTCACCTTCTGTTTTGTCTTTTCTGATACCTGTACTGGAGGCTTCCAAACTATCATTCCTTTTTGTTTTGTATATTCAGCAGAGAGTCTTATTTTAAGACACAGACGAGGCAGGTGTGGTAAATAAGAATGAGGCAGCTATTGAAAATCAGGAACAAACACAAAATGCTGGAGAAACTCAGCAGGTCTGGCAGCGTCTGCGGAGAGAGAAAACAGAATTAACATTTTATGTTCTGAAGAAATGGTCATATCTCCATGGATGCTGGCAGGCCTGCTGGGTTTCTCAAAGATCAGTTCGATGCCTGCTATCGAGTTTGCATTGATGGTGACCATCTAGTATTTATGGAGATATGACTTTGCACGAGTTTCAGTCACTGACCGTTGATAAAATGATTTGAACTTATAGGCCGAAACACCGTCTACCCACGTGGATTTACTTGCCTCTGGAGTTAACTTTTACGTTTTAAATCAGGACATTATCTCATTTTTGTGTTAGTTTTACCTCATGAAACCGGTGTCGGTGGTGATGGTGTCTCCCGGTGATACCAGATGTTTACCAACCTCCGCCGGTAAAGAGACACGCTTTCGCGCCGTCGCTAACCGAATGTCCACTGCCATCTTTGTTAGTGGCGCGCAACCTGCTGCCGCCACTTATAACCACTGCCACCATCTTTGATATTGGCGAACGAACATCAGCCGCCAGATACAATTGTACCCGCCATCTTCAATAATGGCAAATAGTCTTCCATGGTTATGACCACTTCGATATCTTTAATGTCGGCGAATCCTACACTACTGAATACCTGATGCTGAAAGTCGGAAATAAACAAAAATGGAAACATGAAAAGATACATAGAATTAACATTTCACTTCCATAAGTGTTCGTCAAACCTCTCAAATATTTCTCGCATTTTGTTTGTAAAATCCAGCTTTTGCCATATTTAAGCGATACTGAACTCATCACTGTACAGCTGCTGCAAGCCCCGATTAACAGAAGCCTTTAAATTTTTATTTCAGGTTTCCATCATCCACAGTTTGGCGCTGTTAACTGCCATCTTTAACATTGGCAAGACATGCCGGCTCTATTTCCGCCATTTTTAACACAAGCATTCGAGCGGTTTTTGGGGGGTGCGGGGATGAGGGCGTTTAATTATCGCCATGTTTCTTACTGGCAGACTGTCTGAAACAGTCACTGCTGTCGCCATTTTTGTTATTGGCAGATGTTTGGCTCCTTTCTCCCTGCCTCCATGTTTGTTTCCGGGCTGTCTCTGCACCGTTATTTCGTCCTTATAACGAATCGACCCGTGCTTTTCTATGATGTTGTGTGGTGGATCAATTGGCTCTTCAACATAACAACTTAGACAGTTACCATATTGTTGCCAGTATTTTAACGCGTTTTACAATGTTGTGATTAACTCGATGTCTGTCTCTGGAAATGGTGGGTACCGCCATTTTGAGTCTACAGTTAAACCCAAAACAAATTTTAGACATTATCAAACTTAACTATAACTAAATAATATGAAAACACACGTAGTGATTTACTAGTTCTGGATGTATTGTTGGTTAATCTTATTTCGTGGAATCCCAACAATGCTGAAAGAGGCCATTCGGCCCATCGCACAAACTATGACCCTGTGAGTCTGCAACGACCCGCAGAGCACCCCACCCTATCCCTGTAACCCCACGTTTAACATGGCCAATCCACCTAAGCTGCAAATCTTTGATCTGGAGCATCCGTCACAAACTCCACACATGAGCCACCCAAAGGCTGGAATTGAACTTGGGTCCCTGGCACTTGTGAAGTAATAGTGCTAACTGTTGAGCCACCATACTGCCCCAAACCATGCTTCTAGTGAGGCTGAATATTTGTTTCACTAATATCTGCTCAGGTCTAAACAAACAATATGGCTTTTTAAAAACATGTTTCTCAAATTTTGAAATACACATGCCTCTACTTTTATCAACAGTAGTTGGCAAAAGTAAAGGTGACATGGGAAGGGATAGCTTCTGGAATGCACTGCTTAGGTGGTGATGATTCACTTGTCGATACAAGAGGAACGCTGCAGGGCAACACGGAAAGGGTAGGAGAGTGGTTTTCGTTGGTTGCCCTCACTATCACCATTTGGGTAGATTACTGCTTAGGCACCGGTTCATGGTAATACTGGACAAGTCAAATTCCAGAGTAACATCTGGCTTGATAGACCATGTCTTATTTTCAAAAAAAAACTCCAGATGCTGGATAACAGAAACACAAACAGAAATTGCTGGAGAAACTCACCGGGTCTGGCAGCAACTGTGCTGCTTCTGAAGGAGGGTCACTGGATCTGAAATGTTAACTCTGCTTTCTGTCCAGAGATGCTGCGAGATCTGCTGAGTTTCTCTAGCAATTTCTGTTTGCATTTCTTATTTTCACAATTCTGTTACTATGGTGGTCAGTCACCAGTGGTTGCCAATGTATCTTCGATAAAAAGAATTTAAGTTTATTACACAAAGAATAGAGAAAAAAACTAAGATGACAATTTGAAAAACATAAGTCATTAACATCCAAAAAGCTTCTTTTTTCCAGCAATATCCTTTATTGATACTCAATCCTAAAATACAAAATACCTTTCGTAATTGGTTTCTGATACAATTAACAAGGCTGCAATGATTTACTCTTGACAAATGTATGTATATTTTGTATGTAAGATTACAATTATTTTCGTTACTTTATCTCCCTGACACAGTGTTGTTACTAGATAGCTCAGACAAATGTTTAAGAGGATTAATGTTTGGCCAAAAATACACAAATATGCACAAATGGCATAGGTGGAGGCTATTCAGCCCATCATGTCTATGCAAGCTCCTCGAATGCACATTATTACCTAATGTCATCTTCTGCTCTTTCGCCTATTCTTGCACATTATTCCTAACCAAATAATCATCCAATGGTCTCTTGCATGTCTCAACTGAATCTGCTTCCATCATACTTTCAGGCATTACATTCCTTCCAATGTTACGGACAGTATGGCCCATTTATACATATGAACTAGGAACAGGAGAAGATAATTTAGGCCGTCAGCCTGAATGGCCTATGACAACTCATAATTTATATTTTTATGTAAATATAAATGGGAATATTGTCTGTGCTAGCAAAGGATTATCTATTCAAAAGCCCTTCTTCCATACATCTGTATATATTTTAAAAGTTAATTTATACAGCACTTTTCACAATCTCAGGATGTCCTAAGTCTCTTCTAAACCATGTAGTTAGTGACTTAATTAAGGGTACATAGTATTTTCATTGTTACATCCCACTTGGGATGGTGTGCTGATGCTTGAGCCTCACTATTCCTTAGGGCATCATAAAAAGATTTAATCAAAGTCTGTACAGTTCCCAATTTACCTGACTGATAGATTCAAGTTAACAGAAACAGTCGCCAGACCCAAAAAAAAATTGGTGTTAAACACGGAGGAAAGATCCTGGAGAAAATCACAGTTCAAAAAGCACGAGTGCACAAGCCTCAGCAAGATGAACTTTTTTCTTCCAGAGACCGTCTACTGTCTGATCTTTTTTCAGTTTCTTTCACTTTGTTGCAGGAGGCACAGGGCAATTGATACAGTCTTTGTAAAGTCTTTGCATTATTGGTTAAAGGCAACAAGTCATTGCAACTTTTGGAAGAAAATAACTACAATGATTTTACTGCAGGGATATGGAGACAGAGCCTTCTGCCCTTGTCTACTGCACACATGGCAACTGTTCAGTTGCCCAGAATCCAATCACAGAGCATTGTTAAACTGGTGACCTCAACTGGTCTGAATAAATAATCTGTTGCTAGCTAAATTCACTTTGCAAACAAACCCTGATATTGTGTGGAGAGGAATCTCTTCTTCACTGTTTGCAAAGCAACAGTGTAAAGGCAACTGAGTTACAGTAACTTGCTTTTGAAGATACAGCATTTCCTTCCACAGTCATTGTTTTAAAACAAAGTCTTTTTTACCATTTTAGTCCATAATTAAAAATAAAATAAAAAGATGTGGTTTTGCATAATCCCAGCTGATGTTACTATTGGCCAAATCAGATCCAGAATAAAATCCAGCTCTATAGATTATTATTAAAAAGTATGGTGGTCTTTTGCTGAAATAAACACACAAGGCTGTGGGTTTTGTTTTGACGATAAAAATGTAGTTTATTACACACAAGAAAATAAAATATGTAAATATAACAATTGGTTGTACTGTGTGTTTTGAAATCTTTCAAGGTACCCCAGTACCAAGTCTTTCCAGTTAATTAAAATCCAGAGAAATTTTCCTTCCCCATCTCATTTACTGAATTGCTTCTTCTCAGTTCCAGGTTCCAGTCCTGTGAACTGTGAAGCTTTTTTCTTTGACTTCTCACGGAGCTTAGAGTTTTCTCAGTGTTTTAAGCATCGTCAGTGTCCTAACCAAATACTCTTGGTCTTGAAGTTTCAGAAACACCATCCTTTCACTGAGATAACTTATTTTCTTAACTGTTCTGAACAATGTCCTTTTTCTAGGATAGACTATCCTTTTGACCCCAGTCAGGTCTCCTTCAAACTGGACCCAAAAGCTTTTGAACTTAAAAATTTTTCATCCTAGATTCTGGTACAGCTAATGGTTTGACATTTCCTCTCTTATGACATAAACCCCCATAGTATGAATTAACTTCCTTTAATATTCCAAGATGCCTTGCAGACACCTGCTCTTTGACACATACTGATTTTAAAATCATGGCTCTAGAAAGACTGATCTAGTTAATTTTTAAGCCTTTTCATACAAATAGGCCAACAAATGTGCCGCTGTTTGAAATCCAAAAAAAATCAATCATACTCCTATCATAACAAAACTCTGGGTGAGTTTGATAGAGGAGAGCTGGAAATCATGCGGGTGCAAACTTGTGAACATTTATTGATCACTTACAGAGGCAGATTCCAGCAGGACTCATTTGAGTCTTCTTGCCTCGATTCCAATATGTGATTGATAAATACTGACAATGCACTCTAACAATTATGCATGGCAACCCATTTGCACACAGTAAGGTTCCACACATAACTTTGTAATCATAGAATCCCTACAGTTAATGACCAGATAATGCTTTTAATGATACTGGCTGATAAATATTGGCAACGGATATCAGGGAGATCTTCCTTGATCATTTTTGAAATAGTGGTATCTGATTTTTAAATTTTTAGGCCCACCCAAGGAGACAGATGGCAACTTGAGTTTATGTCCCAAACAAAGATGCTTCTCAGAACTGCAGTGAACCAGATGCTGGATTCTGTTTTAAGTGAATATGACCAATACTTTTCTGCCATCCACTTTGTCTATGCAAAAAGCTACATGGATCCAGGAGAAAATAAGGACAGCAGATGCTGGAAGCTAGAGTCAATAAATGTGGAGTTGGAAAAGCACAGCAGGTCAGACAGTATCCAAAGAGCAGGGAAGTCAATGTTTCGGGCCGAAACCCTTTGTCAGGACAGAGATCCAGTCTTAATTTACCCCTTTTTACTGGCTTAGGTTTTGCCCAGCCGATTAGGCTCACTTTAAAAATTACAATATATTGAAGAACATACTAAATGGACTGTAATAAAGCACTAGAAATGGATCTTTTGTTGGAATTGAACTTCAACGCCTACAGAGAGAGAAATAGAAGTAAACTTTTCAGGCCAGTAATCTTGCATTATTTTTATTCATTCCATGATATGGAGATGCCGACGTTGGACTGGGGTGGACAAAGTCAGGAGTCACACAACACCAGGTTATAGTCCAACAGGTTTATTTGAAATCACAAGCTTTTGGAGCGCTGCCCCTTTGTCAGGGGTAGTCTGAAACTTTAAGACCGGAAGTGTTTGGTTAGAATTCTGACGATGATTAAAAGACTAGCTTCATCTGACAAAGGGGCAGTGCTACAAAAGCTTGTGATTGCAAATAAACCTATTGGGCTATAATTTGGCATTGCGCGACTTCTGACCTTATTGATTCTAAGAATGTAAGCGTTGCTGGCTGCACTAGAACAATTAACTATTTTCTTTCTCTTGCCACCAATAACAAATCGGTTGACCAGTCTGGGCATTTTCTATTTTTATTTCAGATTTCCAGCAACTGCAGTTACTGGACTTGAAACTTTAACTCTGCTTTCTCTCTACAGATGCTGCCAGACCTGCTGAGTTTCCCCAATAGTTTTCTGCTTTATGCCAAGAGCACCGCCAGGCTAGAGTTTTCCCATATACAACAAAAACGAAATACTCCCAACGCTGGAAATCTGAAATTTAATGAAAGAAATGTAGAGATTTGGGAAACACACGGCAGCATTTTTGCAGAACCAATGAACCCTTCAACTCTGGGGCCGTTCAGCGCTACACGTACTGATGGAAGCGCCATCTTTATTCCTAGCAACAATGAGCGTAGAAGACACCATCTTTCATGCAGGCAATGGATTCGGGCCCTCCCGGCCGTTGGCGGCGCTGTTTTGGGAGTGTTCCTTCTGCCGCTCGCGGCAGGTATTCCTTCTCCCGCGAATGAAAACGGTCGCGGACCCGAATTTTTCCTCCTTATTAACAATAGAAATTATCAGATTTTAAATCGTCTAAAAAAAGAGATTTTGTCGGCGTAATGTTCCCTCAACAACAGCAGCAACAACACTTCCAACAGCAGCTGCTTCAGCTCCAGCAGCTAATTCACCAGCAGCGGCAGCAGCACCGCCATCCGCATCCGCACCCGCACCCTGGAGGCCCCAGCCGGTAAGACAGTCAATCTAGGCCGGGGATGAAACTAGGCCCATGTCGTCTCTACGTCAACAAGGGGGAGGATGAAGGCTGTGCTGTGGTAGGATAACGATCTGGGGTGGGAATTTGTGATTAAATGACGGTTATAAATAATGTATTTAAATGAACTTTTCGAAATCAGATTCATTTTAGAACAGCTTTCACAATATGTTCACTTTTAATCCGTCTCTGTTTGCCCGCCTCTGGGAGGGAAAGTCGTTTTTATTTGGAACTAAAGTTAAAATAAACGCCGGAGGAACTTGTGGCCTCCGCGTTTCCATCCATACTAACTCTCTCAGCTGCGGGAGTGCTACGCTGTCGGCGGTGCTATCTTACAGATAAGGTGGATAGCAAGAAGCTTTTTCCCAGAGTGGGGGACTCAATTACTAGGGGTCACGATTTCAAGGTGAGAGGGGAAAAGTTTAAGGAAGATATGCGTGGAAAGTTCTTTACGCAGAGGGTGGTGGGTGCCTGGAATGCATTGCCGGCGGAGGTGGTAGAGGCGGGCACGGTAGCGTCATTTAAGATGTATCTAGACAGATACATGAATGGCAGGGAGCAGAGGGATGCAGATCCTTGGAAAATAGGCGACAGGTTTAGTTAGAGGATCTGGATCGGCGCAGGCTTGGAGGGCCGAAGGCCCTGTTCCTGTGCTGTAATTTTCTTTGTTTGAGACATTAAACTGAATCCCACCCGCATGGACAGCACTTTGTGAAAAAGGACAGGGTAGTTCTTCCCGCACTTTCCTGGGCCACTATTTATCCCGTAGCCAACAGCACCTGACACAGATTGTCCAGTCATTCATCACATTGTTGTTTTGGGGCTCTTGTGATGTAGTGTGCCTAACTTTATTCCACTAAGTAAAAACCAAAAGAACTGTGGGTGCTGTAAATCAGGAACAAAAACAGAAGTTGCTGGAAACGCTCAGCAGGTCTGGCAGCATCTGTGAAGAAAAAAATCAGAGTTAACGTTTTGAGTCCGGTGACCCTTTCTCAGAACTGATGGTAGCTGGGAAAATGTTGCTTTAAATGCAGTATAAACACCTGTATCTATTCCAGTAAGTCTGGATCCCAACATCTCCGAACAAGCTAATTACAAAATATCACATTGGAATAAGTTGGATTTTGCTGATCGCATAATGGTTGTCACGTAAATTACATTACAACAGTAACTACACTTCAAAATGTCCTTCATTAGTTGTAAAATGCTTTAGGTGCCCTGAAGTTATGAAATACGATCTAGAAATGTCAGCGAAAAACAATGCTAAAAGTACTTAGCAGGTTGAATGGCATCTGTAGAGAGACAAAGCAGCTGATTCTATACACAGCTCAAACAACATCTGCAAAATGAAAAGTCAGGATAATACTTCAGGTAGAAGACCACAAAGGAGACTACAATAGGATGAGGGAAGAGTTGGCTAAAGTAGACTGGAAGTAAATACTTTATGGTGGGACAGTGGAGGACTTCCAAAGCAACTATTCAAAGTGCTCAGCAAAAGTATATACTGGTTAAAAAAGAAGGAATGTAGGAAAAGTGGTAATCAGCCATGGATGCTTAAGGAAATAAGGCATGCCATCAAATTGAAAGATAAGGCATACAAAGTGGCCAAGACCAGTGGGAAACAAGAAGATTGGGAAAACTTTAAATGTCAATAGAAAGCCACAGAAAAAGCTATAAAGAAAATTATGATAGCTTGCGAGTGTAAACTAGCTCTGAATATAAAGTCAGATAGCAAAAGTTTCCACAAATAGATAAAATGAAAATGAGTGACTAAGGTAAACGTTGGCCCTTCAGAGGATTAGAAAGGGGATTTAATAATGGGAAATGAGGAAGTAGCCAAGACATTGAACAGGTATTTTGTGTCAGTCTTCACAAATAAGATGCCAGTAATTGATGACAAGGAGACTAAGGTAAGTGAGGACCTAGACATGATCATTATCATGAAAGAAGCAGTGTTGGGCAAGCTAATAGTAGACAAGTCTCCTGGCCCAGATGGAATGCAACCCAGGGTCCAAAAAGAGATGGCGGGAGAAATAGCAAATGTTCTTTTGGTAATTTTCCAAATTTTGCTGAACTCTGGGGCAGTTCCAGCAGATTGGAAAACAGCAAGAGCAATGCCACAGTTTGAAAAAGGAGGTAGACAAAACATGGGGAATTACAGGCCAGTTAGCTCAACTTCTGTAGCAGGGAAAATGCTTGAATCTGTCATCAAGGGAGAAATAGCAAGATGTCCACATAGAAATTGTCCCATTGGGCAGACGCAGCAAAGGCTCATGAAAGGCAGGTCATGCTTAACTAATTTAGTGGAATTTTATGAAGACATTACGAGCGCGGTGGACAACGGGGACCCAATAGATGTGTATCTGGATTTCCAAAAGGCATTTGACAAGGTTCCACACAAAAGGCTGCTGCATAAGACAAAGGTGCATGGTGTTATGGGGCAATGTATTAGTATGGATAGAGGATTGGTTAACCAACAGGAAGCAAAGAGTGGGGATAAATGAGTGCTTTCAGGTTGGCGATCAGTGACTAGTGGTTTGCCTCAGGATCAGTGTTGGAACTGCAGTTGTTTACAATTTACATAGATGATTGGAGCTGGGGACCACATGTGGTGTGTCAAAGTTTGTGGATGACACTAAGATGAGTAGTAGAGCAAAGTGTGCAGAGGACTCTGAAAGTTTGCAGAGGGATATATATAGTTTAAGTGAGTGGACAACGATCTGGCAGATGGAGTATAATGTTGGTAAATGTGAAGTCATCCATTTTTGTAGGAACAACAGTAAAAAGGACGTTGTAGCATGTTACTGTGCAGAGGGAGTTGTGTGCCCTTGTGCGTGTGGGTTGGTTTGCAGATACGACAGGTAATTAAGAAGGCAAATGGAATTTTGTCCTTCATTGCTAGAAGGATTGAGTTCAAAAGCAGGGAAGTTATGTTGAAGCTGTATAGGGTGCTGGTGAGGCCACACATGGAGTACTGCGCTCAGTTTTGGTTTCCTTACTTGAGAAAGGATGTACTGGCACTGGAGGGGGTGCAGAGGAGATTCACTAGGTTTATTCCAGAGTTGAGGGGGTTTGCTTATGAGGAGAGACTGGGATTACATTCATTGGAATTTATAAGAATGAGGGCGGACCTTATAGAAACATATAAAATTGTGAAGGGAATAGAAAAGATAGAAGCAGGGAGGATGTTTCCACTGGCGGCTGAAACTAGAATAAGAGGGCATAGCCTCAAAATTAGGGGGAGCAGATTTAGGACTGAATTGTGGAGGAACTTCTTCACCCAAAGAGTTCTGAATCTGTGGAATTCCCTGCCCAGTGAAATAGTTGAGGCTTCCTCATTGGATGTTTTTAAAGCTGAGATAGATAATTTTTCTAACAGTAAAGGAATTAAGCATTCTGGTGAGAGGGTGGGTAAGTGGAACTGAGGCCATGAAAAGATCAGCTATGCTGTTATTGAATGGTGGAGCGGGCTTGAAGGACCAGATGGCCAACTCCTCCTATTTTTATGTTCTTGTACAAGAAACTCTTCAGCTGATATATCGTACCATTTTTGCATTTATAGTCGTGAAGCCATACAGCACGGAAACAGACTCTTCAATCGAACTCATCTGTGCTGACCAGCCATCCAATCTGACCTAGTCCCATTTGCCTGTATTTGGTCCATATCTCTGTAGACCCTTCCTATTGATATACCCATCTAGATGCTTTTTAAATGTTGTAATTGTACTTGCCTCCACCACTTCCTCTGGCAATTTGTTCCATACACATACCACCTTCTGTGTGAAGACATTATCCCTCAGGTCCTTTTTTTAAATCTTTCCCCTCTTACCATAAACCTGTGTCCTCCAGTTTTGGACTGCCCCATCCTATGAAAAAGGCCTTTGCTTTCACTTTATCCTAATGATTTTATAAACCTTTTATAAGGTCACCCTTCAGTCTCTGACGTTCCAGGGAAAAAGCCCCAGCCTACTAAGCCTCCCTATTGCTTAAACCCTCCAATCCTGGTAACACCCTTGTAAATCTTTTCTGTACCCTCAACATCCTTCTTATAGAAGGACGACCAGAATTGTACGCGGTATTTCAAAAGTGGTCTCTCTAATGTCCTGTACGGCCGCAACATTATGTCCCAACTCCTATATTCACTGTTGTGACCAGTGAAGACAAATGTGACAAACGTGCCAAATGCTGCCTTCACTATCCTGTCTATCTGCGACTCCACTTCCAAGAAACTGCATCTGCACCCCAAGGTCTCTCTGTTTGGCAACACTCCCTAGTGCCCTACCATTAACTGTATAAGTCCTGCCCTGGTTTGCCGTACCAAAATGCAACACCTCACATTTATGAAAATGAAACTCCATCTACCTACCACTTCTCGGCCCATTGGCCTGTCTGTTTGAAACATTTGTTTTGGATCTTGATACACATACAAACCACCTTCTGTGTAAAAATAAAGTTGCCCCTCAGGTCCCTTTTAAATCTTTCTCCTCTCATCTTAAAATCATGCCTCTAGTTTTGAAATCCCCCCACCCTAGGGAAAAGACCATTGCTATTCACTTTATCTATGCCCCCCATGATTTTATAAACCTCTACAAGACCACCTCTCAACCTCCTATGCTCCAGGGAAAAAAGAGACAGCCTATCCACCCTCTCCCCATAACTCAAGCACTCCAATCCCAGCAACACCCTTGTAAATCTTTTCTGCACCCTTTCCAATTTAATAAGATCCTTCCTAAAGCTGACTGACCAGAACTGTACACTGTACTCCAAAAGTTGCTTCACCAATATCCTGTACAGCCGCAGTGTGATATCTCAGCTGCTATATTCAATGCTGTGACTGATGAAGACAAATGTGCCAAATGTCTTTTTACCACCCTGTCTAATGGTGATGCCACTTTCAAAGAACTGTGTACCTGAACGCCTAGGTCTGTCTGTTCAACAACAGTCTCCAGGGCTGTACCATTAACTGTGCAAGTCCT